TCATATGACATCCAATTATTAGCCCAATCTGCACACAGGCTAATTTATTTCACATCTATGACTGTCATTCATTTTATCAAATAATGTGGGTAAGAGTAAACCTATAAAGACTATACCTTTTACCTTTCCTCATCAGGCATCCTCACCCAAAAACATAAGTTTGAATGGTTTGCACATTACTCCACAAAAGATGTTCTGGCACTTACAAAAGGTCTAATTTGTTCTGCTATGTGATGCTTTATACTAAAACTTATAAGGTCTTATTGTTGGGGGAGTAGAATCCCACTACACTTCAATTTAACTAGTTTATTTAACAATAACTCTTCCCCCAACTGAGATTCCAAATGACTATTTTTAGACTTAAACAACTGCCAAAATTCCTAAGTCTATGTAGGTGATAGATGAGATTAGCATTCTTACCTTGAAACATTTCCTTTGCGTCTAACCTAACTCTGACCCATTAAAATGATTCGTTTTGTTTGTTTTAAGGAAAGCACTGCAGCCAAAGTCCGCTTCCACTAATATTCCCAAGAAGAAACAAAATACACAAAATAGGAGGAACTCAGAAAGCTGGAGGGCATATAAAAAACAAAGAGCAAAATGACCTTAGTGCCTCCTTATCAGTAATTACTTCAAATGTAAATAAATGCTCTAATCTAAAAGCAGAGATAAGCAGAATGGATTAAAAAAAAAAAAAAAAAAAAAAAAAGCATGTTCCAAGTACAGGCTCTCAAGACTCACTTTAGAAACAAATAGCTTGAAAGTGAAAGGATGGAAAAAGATATTCCATGCAGCCCACGCTGGGTGACTCAGGTGGCTGGAGTGTCATCCCACACACCAAAAGGTTGCGGGTTTGATTCCCAGTCAGGGCACACACCTAAATTGCAGGTTCAACCCCCAGTTGGGGCACATACAGGAGGCAACTGACTGATGTTTCTGTCACATTATAGTCTGTCTGTCTATCTCCCTCTCCTGTACCCCCTCCACCTTCTGAAATCAATAAAAAACATATCCTCTGGTGAAGATTAAAGAAAAAAAGATATTCCATGCAAATAGTAATCAAAAGACAACAGAGGTATCTACATTAATATCAGTCGAAACAGATTTTAATTTTTTCTAAATGGTGTAAGAAACAAAGGACACTACAAGTTAATGAAAGGTTCAAGAGACGAAGAAGATAGAACAAGTATAAACATCTCATACCTAGTAACAGGCCATCAAAACACATGAAGCAAAAACTGACAGAATAAAAAGGAGAAATAGCCAACTCTACAATAACAGTTGAAGGCTTCAATACCCCATTCTCTATAATGAATGGAAAAAACAGAAAGATGAAACAGAGTCTTTCTGTCTTGGTTTACTGGTTTAACGCAATAACCCAAATAGACATACACACACTGTACCCAACAGTAGAGTGCACACAGGACATTCTCTACTATACACTATATGTCAAGCCACAGATTAAGTCTCAGTAGATTTTTTTAATAGATATACAAAGAACCTTCTCCAATTACAACAGGATAAAGTTAGAAATCAGTAAGAGAAGGAAAACTGGAAAATTCACAAATTTATAGAAATTAAATAGCACACTCTTCACCAGTGGGACAAAATAGAAATCACAAGGAAAATTAGAAATTATTAACAGACAAATGAAAATAAAAACACAACATACCAAAATGTGTAGGATGCAGAGAAAGTAGAGCCCATCAGGACATTTATAGCTATGAACACACTGAAAAAGAAGAAAGTTCTCAAATAAGCAATCTAACTTTACAACTTAAAGAACTAGAAAAAGGAGAACTAAGCTCAAAGCTAGTAGAGGGAGAAAATAATTTTTAAAACTATGGCAGAGGTAAATAAAATAGAGATTAGAAAAGAAAGAGAAAAAAACAACGAAACCAAAAGCTGGTTCTCTGAAAACATTAACAAAATTGACAAACCTTTAGCACAGCAAGAAAACAGGAAAGACTCAAAAGTTGTTTTTTAACGTGTTCAATAATTTTTTAAGAGTGTAAACAGTCCCAAGACTAAAAGTTTTAAAACATCTAATTTAAAGAACAGAATATTACTATCAGATCCCTACAAACCAAAAAGTACATAAAATCATTAATTTAAAAAAAACTTTCCAGGCCTGGCTGGTGTAGCTCAGTGGATAGAGCACAGGCCTGCACACTAAGGGATCGAGGTTCAATTCCCAGTCAGGGCACATGCCTGGGTTGCAGGCCAGTTCCCAGCAGGGGACACATGAGAGACAACCATACACTGACACTTCTCTCCCTCTCTCCTTTCCTTCCCCTCTAAAGATAAATAAATAAAATCTTTTAAAAAATAATAATCTTAAAAAACCTTTCCTAAGAAAATTACATGAAAGCTGAAAAGGAACACAATACCAAAGCAAAACTATCCACACTCTGTGTAATATTAATAACAAAGAAAATAAAACAAAAACAATGCTTAGAGGAATGTGGTTCATATACGCTGGAAATATGTAATATATATCGGTCAGATAAAAACATACATACCCATGAACAGTTTGATCATTTTTTCATAGCAGCACATGACAGTCAAAGAAATGCAATCACATACTCAAAAACAGGTGATTAAAATAGCAGCCGCTGCCACCACAAGGGGGACAACCCAAGGTTCTGTCAGGAAGGACAAACAGGGAGACTTCAGCAGCGCTCAGGCAGCAGCATCTCGGGACACCCCACTCATGGTCCAGCTGTTCTATTTAAAACTAAATTACATGCTTCCAAGGCAGGACCGTGAGATTCAGCCTGTATTCAGTACCCCCCCCCAAAAAAGTGAATGGGTCATAGTGAAATTAATCTTCACTAATAACGCTCCATCAGTTCAAAGTCCTTCTTCAGCTTACTAGATCCCTTCAAAGCCTGGAGACAAGCAGAAATAGTAATAATATTTACTGAGCACTTACTATGTGCCAGGCTGAGCACTTTCTGTGTATTAGCTCAGATGATGTTCAATATCATCTTAAGGGTGTATGTAACTGCTATTATCCCACTTTTGCAGCTGAGGAAACTGAAACAAAAAGAGAATAAATAACTTGCATCTAAAGCAAGACCATGATTCAAGCCCAGCCAGTTCGGTTCTGAGGCCCAATCCCCCTTAGTCACTACACTACAGGATGGAGGTACTGTAACCAACAATAATATGTGAAGTTTAAAAGTCATGCCCACTCCACCCATTGTTTCCCAGAAGCCCCCACCTTGAAAATAATCCTCTGACAGGTTCATTTATCACAACTAATGTTCAACTTCCAAGTACTGAGGGACTTCAACCAAGAAGAGCAAATTTTGGATGGTGAATACTCTGGAGATTTTTTTTAAACACCAAAATGTAAAATATAACACAAATTAGATAATTTCACAAGTCCTGAACTTCTTTTCCCTCTGCTATTTTAATAGATGAAACCATTATACAGAATTCTAGCTAGATTGCTCTAAAGAGAAAAATGCTTCAAGTCAATAAAAATTTTTCCTCAAAATATTTTGCAGTGTTGGCTAATTAGAAATGTAACTCTCATTCTACCCCCTTCATTTCAGAGTTCAGAATGAGACTGCAGTTCTAAAAATGTGCCCAAGCACTTCAAGGCAGAGTTCTAAGGTCATTAAAAATGAACTTAAAACTTCATTGTAGAACTTAAGACAAGTAGAATGGAAAATTAAACAGGTCATATTATAACTCTGCTTAAGGATGACAAATAAGGAGTGGATAAGACTCACAGTAATTACAGAAGACATCCTCATAGAGATGCCAGAGTCTGGTTTGGTTTTAACTTTTGGCTCATGTTTTATTTAAAGTGCTTTAAATAAACCACTACTTTTTTTGGTCTACTGAACTGAAAACATTCCACAATACATTACAAAAATAACTTTCTAGTTTTCTCAGGGGAAAAAAAAAAGACAATTCAGAAGAGGAATGCAGAGATTAAAGAAAGAGATGACTCAATTTACACAAAGATTACAACATGGACACGAAAGATAAGTGAAAAGGAGTAATCAAGAAGTGCTGAAAGTTATTAGGTCATCAGCAGTCCTAGACCTTCAGGTGCATAAGCCAGCTACCTGAAAACAAGAAATGGGCTCGTAGTTACCAACATTCATATCGCGTATACTAGATGTATTAAAACTCCATTCTACAATGGGTAATGCCCAGGAAAGTAAACCAACGGATTCCAAACTATGCTGGTACCTACAGGGGCTTAAACGACACGGGGGAGGAGGGACATGCAAGCATTTGAGTAGGGGCTGCAGGAGTCCTTGAACTGAACACACTCGCAATTAAGAACCTGCTGTTGAAAACTCTGCAGAGTCATCAAGGGCGACCTGATTCAGGTTCAAATCAAAACCACAAGGCGACAAGTTGTAAACAGAGAACACGCTTCAGGCCAAACACCCATTGAGAGGAAACAAAAGTAGTCATCACCCGGGTCACACCACACCCACCCCGCCCTGACGCTTGGCTCTCCCAGGGGGTGGGTGCTGGGCTGGGTACTGGAGTGGGTGGAGGAGCCGGGCTCGCACCAGCCCAAGACCCACCACCCCACTCGGCTCTGCTCTGTGCTGCAGAGCAGTGGGGACTGGCGCTTGGGGCCCTAGAGAAGGGGCAGGGCACGAGGGCCGCCTTTGCTTAGAGACGGCACCGAGGACTCTCCTTGGGAGTGGGGGTAGGAGGGCGGCCAGGTGTTGGTGGGTGCGAGCGGGATGGAGCGTTTTCCAGGAACAGCCAAAACCTAGCCCATCAGGGATTCCCCTCAATATCCGGTCCACGTCCCCAAAGACACGCGTTACACAACCTGTCAGGTGAGGGTCGAAGGGGTTCCAGGTCACAGACCACAGCAGGCCCAGATCGCGCTCCCCTAGCTTCCACCGCCCCCAAGACACCTCGGCCAGGGGAGAGCAGAGGGACAGCCGGCGGCGCGGCGGGAAAGCCACGGCAGAGGGTCGGCTGGCAGACACGGACGGTGGTGGGGCACTCACCAGCTTAGGAGGGGGAGCTGGCAGGGAGTGGGCCAAACCGCACCACCAGGCTCGGCGAGGCAATGCAGGCGGCAGCTCTGTGGACACACGGTGGACTCCTCGCCGCCCGCCGCCGGGTGTTTTCATACAAACCCGGGTGGCAGGCGAGGCAGAGGCGGCGGCAGCGGAGGAACCTTCCCGCATCCCGGGCAACGTCAGCGCGGCGCCCCGCCCACCGCTCGCTTTGGCCAGCCAGCTCACGTGCGTGGGGGAAGGAGGGAGGGAGGAGGACGGAGCGCGCGTGTGCCCGGGCGTGGCAAACAGGCAGGGAGGAGAGGGCGGGTCACGCGTGGATGGGGGTGGGGGTGGGGAGCGTGCGTGGCCAAGAAGGGAGGGTGCGCGCCGGCGTTGGAAGGGTAGGGCCGGGGTGGTTCCACCAGATGGCTGGAAGGGGTTTTGCGCGTGTCCTGGGCCCTCGTCCACTACAGCTGCCGCCCAACCCAACAAACCAGGTTGCCAGGTGGATAACCACCTTCCTGAACCTCCTTTCACCTTCCTGAAGGTGAAAAATCATCTTTCTGTATGCTCCCAGTTACGAGATCCCGTCTTTCCCTGGAACTAAGCCGGCCCCCACCACTACTACCATTTAGCTGCCCCATACAGCGGTTCTTACCTCTCCCCACATCGTACCGGGTCACATCAGTCCCAGGGGGCCGCGGTAATGTTTAGCTATTTCCTGACCTCAAGGAAAATCCATAGTACGTTAGCAGACTAGCAGTTTCCTAGCTGGGCTTACAGGGTAGAACGAAATTGCACCTTGTGGCCAAACCTACATGCTTAGTGCAGCAGGGAACAAAATAGCATGCTGACTTATTTTTTTGCTATTTTGTATTGTGCCTGCATACAGTCACGAAAATGACAGCACTAAATTGGCCACTGAAAGCAAAGACGGAATGTTTTATATGAGAGAGTTATGTCTCAGACAAGTTAAATACTGATACACCCCCTTTTGTGTGGGCTGTAATATATTTTTAATAAATACTTTTTTTTTTCAAGAACATGGGTCATGTTTGCTGCTGTTTATAGTAGCTGACAAAAAATGTAACATCACTACAACTACACAGCAGGAGTTTTCAACTGCTGTACCTCCCGTAGGAGAGATACTGCAAAAATTTTTTAAAACATGCAAAACCTATCTAGTCAGGCCCTTAGGTTTTCAAATAAAACGACAACAGCCAACACAAGAATGACCGTCTGGTGTGATTGAATCAAAATTATACCTTTTTTTGTTGTCAGATCAGCAAAAAATATAACACTTTTTGGTGTGCTACAGAATTTTAGTAACTACTTGATGTGTGCCATGAGATGAAAAAGGTTGAAAATCGCTGAGATAGGGGAATATATTAAGAGCCGTGAAGTTCTTATTTTGCTTTCTTATCATACTGTTTACAGAAGATTGAGCAGGTGTGAAGGAAGTTCCCAAAGTAACCCAAGTTTCTTGCAGTTCACCCTTGCCAGGTAGATGTCTTTTTACTAGGATAAACAAGAGACTATCACTTTTTCAATACCACAGTTTCTCCTACTATAAGCACGAAAAAGTAGGTTATGGTATTTTAAATAATTTTAAAACATACCACCCCAGACAACCCAGTCTGAAAAGCATTATCTGAGAACACCAAATTATAGAATATTTAACATTTTACAGAAATGAAGTACATGTAATACATATGAAACTTGATTCAAACAACATCTTCCTAAACATATCAACCAGCAATATAGAAAGATATAAATGCAAATACCTGCATTTGTAGATTTTGAATTCCATTTTAGCAAAGCCTACTTAGTGTGGTTTGATAGCCAGAACACAGATCCAGTAAATTAACACACACAACTATATAAAAAGTAGAGCCAATCCTGTTTGTCGCTCTTTTCCGCTACTTTAAACAGCTTCCTCAAAACACTTTACTATGCTATATAGAACTAAACATAAATAATTGATGTAGATAAGAGTCTAAACCTTATAATGATATTCATTTAACTAGGATTCCTCATTCTAGCCAGTGCCTTGTAGGTAACCAATGAACAGTTAATTATTTTAATTTTGGACTAGTCAGGGAAGAGAAAGGTTACCACTGGAGCCCAGCCAGCTATCTCTTTCTCTTTTGCTGATTTTCTTACTTGCATACCTTTAATCAAGTAACATACTGTTGCACCAGTATGTCTAGTGATATAGTCTTTCCAATCAGTCAGCCAGGCAACTGCTTGGCTAGCTGCCTACTGAGCAACCCAGCACAAAGGAATACATAAGAGTCATACAAGCTAGCTATGCTATTCACTCAGCTTTTATTGTATGTGGGTTCACTCAAAGCAGAACATCAACATACATTAATATCCTACTCACACTCTAACAATCTAAAAGAAACACACACACATAGCAATCAATGGGGGAAAACAAACCTGAGTCCCAGAGTCTCAGCCAACAGGTCCAGGAGACAGCACTGTGGGCAAGGGAGCCATAAGCCTTTTGCAAGGAAGCGCTGGTCTCACAGGTTGAAGAGGGTAGAGCCTGGATCCAGTGGAGCAGAGCCTTCAGTGGCAGATGCCAAGGGAAGTCAGTGTGATGTGGAGCAGCACTCTGGGGTGTGGAATTCGGCTGTCTCAGGACTGGTCTGAAGCCTGTGTCAGTTATGCGCTTGAGACTGGTGCACTCCGCCCCTCTGGGTCTCTTGATAAGGGTCTAGGCACCCCTGATGACAACTGGGCACTTTCTCAAAAAGCCTATCTATGGGCGGTCCTGTTCTGCAGACATGGCTGTTCTTGTCACATGTGCAGAAAACTTAAGCATGCGTTTTTGCCAGATGTGTCTGGTGTGACTTAGGTAGTTTCCTTTTGGAACCAAAGTGTCATGGCTGACTGGCAGCCCACTTGCTTGACATGAGTGATGCCATTTTGTCTTATATACTTTACCCTGTCTTATCAATACTGTTTCAATGCTGTTTTACTGGTCCTGTTCTCCACACACACAAAATTCAATAAACTTTATAAGAAAACTCTAAGCCCTGGCTAGTGTAGCTCAGTGGATTGAGTGCCGGCCTGCGAACCATTCGATCGCGGTTCAATTCCCAGTCAGGGCACATTTGTGGGTTGCAGGCCAGTTCCCAGCAGGGGATGCACCAGAAGCAACCATACATTGATATTTCTCTCCCTCTCTCCTTCCCTTCCCCTCTTTATTTCCCCTCCCCTCTCTCCTTCCCTTCCCGTCTTTATTTATTTATTAAGATAAATAAATAAAATCTTATAAAAAAAACCTCTATAGCCATCAGATTTAGAACAGTCATAGACCTCTCAAAAGTCTACAGTCATTTCCATCTGGAACCATAAATGTTAGGAGCACAAGCTTGGCCATGAACTTTCTGAAACGTAGTTAGTCTGCTGGAGTTGTAGAATTATTGTAACTATTCAATGTCATTCAACAATCACCAATTTATTGAGCACCTCCTGCTAGACATAATACTCATGATTACGCCCAATAAAATACCTAACAGCTGTCCTGTGCCAAACTGAAATGTTATCACAGACCATGAAGCAGCAATGCTGTAAGAACAACATGAGTTGAACCGTGAATGTGGCATGGCTGGGAAATGGAGGGAAGCAACCCTAGCATTTCACACAATGGAGAAGTTCTGGAGACAAAAGATTTTACACTGACAAATGGTTTCCTGTAGTCATGTGATACTCTGTGAATGATACATGATTCAGGGACTAAAAAGTTGAGTTTAAAGACCCATATCTGTAAGCCACTACACCCTCACTTTCTTTATTTGTGAAATGGAACTTAAATAACCCTGCCAAATCTAAACATGCAAACATAGATGCTACCCTTTGATCCACTTACAAAAATTTATCCTAAAGAAATAACCAAGGAAGATGCAGAGATTTAGCTGTAAAGATGATTATTCTGAGTGGTATTACAAACTATCTTTAATGTTCAACAGAAGGCACCTGGTTAAACACATTATTGTACATCCATAATATAGATCACTAGGAAGCCATTACGAATGGTGCGGTAAATCAGGAGTTGTTAACCAGGGGTCCAGTGGGTTTAATTCATGAGCAGATGTGAATTTACCTTGAGGCTAATGAAGTGAGGAGCCAAGAGGGCTTTCTTACCTTTTATTTATGCAGGTCCCTGTGAGTACTAAATTACTGAGACTTAAAAGAATTTTTCCAGACAATAAGGAGAAGCCAGGTTGCAATCAGGATGCATTTCTATGTGACTATTTCTGGTAAATTTCCTGACTAGATCTCATTTGAAAGGGACCTAGATCTCCAAATACCTGGGAAGATATTGTGATTTTGCATTCTTAATAAATAGCCATATAAATAATTTTTATATATCCACATGTGATTTTTTTTTCTTTCAGAGCACCTGCCCCCTATTGAAAAAGACAATTTCCCATTATTTTCAAGTCGGTTTCTCAATCCTATAGTCTGAACAAGTGTTTTGTTTTACTTCTTAATAACTTACTTAAAATAAATAAACATTTCCACAAAAATCACAAACACTAGAAGTACTCTTCTTATTTAATAAAACTGTTCAGCATTTCCAAAAGACCACCCAATTAACAATTAACTGATTTGAAAACATTAAAGAAGTAATTTTTTCATACAAGCTAACCATTAAATTAGATTGAAACAAAGAAATGGAGATTCAAAACTGAATTCATTTTCTCACATTCAAGAAATACTATTCAATGTCTAATATAGTATTATTAAATTAGAAAAACAAGTTGTTTGTATGGATTGTATGATCCCATTTGAATTTTTTAAATCAGTATTGTAGGAAACATTACACATGTACAGTCTCATGAACAGAGTCCTGGAAAGGAAAACACCATTCTGTTGACCAGAATTACTTGGTGACAGGTTGGGGTAAGTGTTGCCACTTTCTCTATTCTGCATTGTTTCAATGTTTTAAAAGAAAACATGCAACCTAACCAGACACAAAATAAAGTTGAACATAAAACAAATGGAAGAGAGTTTCTAAACTTGCACACACAAGCTTCAAATCACACAAATCCTGGACCCTTCTCTGCATTCACGGACGAATTTCAGTCGCCTAATTGCAGGGCCTTCTTCTGGGGCTTAGGAAATGGAGCTCCCATTAAACTAAAAAAAGGCCTAGTCCGAAAGGATTAAAATCGTGACATAAC